TAAATAAATAAAGGACTACCCATCTTTTTTTAATATTTATTTTTTAGTTGTAGTTGAACACAATACCTTTATTTATTTATTTTTATGTGGTACTGAGGATCGAACCCAGGGCCGCGCATGTGCTAGGCAAACAATCTACTGTGAGCCACAGCCCTAGTCCCAGCCCATATCCACCTTTTTTTTTTTTTTTTTTTTTTTGATCTTCAGTATCCTTCTGGAAAACTTTTGATACACACAGTGTTTGGGTCAGGGGTACAACACAGTACGTTAAATGTGTACAACTCCAAGTTAGATCAACTTGAACCTGAATCCTACCCTGCCTCAGTTCCTCATCAATAAATTAGGGATCATAAGAGTCCTCATTCGTAGGATTGTTGGAGAAGCTAAACATGATGATACATGTAATGTTTGGCACAGTGCATGAAACAAGTGCTCAATAAATGATCAGTAGAATGATCCAAGTTACAGTTGGAGCTTCTTTAGGTTTGGGAACATCTGGTTAAAATTTTTTTATAGGTTGTTTCTTCTTTTTTCATTTAACTTAATTTCTAATACCTGTTCCCTATTTCTTTATAGTGTAAGAAATGATGCTAGATACATCTGAAATTAATATGTTCTTAGGATACGTGTTTGATTTTTTTGTTTTGTGTTTTCTCATTATTGGGAATTGAACTCAGGGCACTTTACAACTATATCCCTAGTCTTTTTTATGTTTTAAATTTTTAATCAAAAGTAGCCTTTGATATTAATATCCAAGATATACAAAGAACTCAAAAAATTTAACACCAAGAAAAAAAAAACAAATAACCAAATAACCCAGTCAACAAATGAGCAAAACAACTAAACAGACACTTCACAGAACAAATATACATGGTCAAAAAATAAAGGAAAAATTTTTCAACATCTCTAGCAATTAGAGAAATATAAATTAAAACACACTGCAAGAGGGCAGGGGAGATAGCTCAGTTGGTATATCCCCAAGTGCTTGCCTTGCATGTACAAGGTCCTGGGTTTGATCTCCAGCACCAAAAAAAAAAAAAACCTACCTTGAGATTTCACCTCACTGCAAACTGGATCAACCACTCTGGAAAGCAGTATGGAGATTCCTTAGAAAATGTATTTGACCCAGCTATCCTACTCCTTGGCTTATACCCAAAGGACTTAAAATCAGCATACTACAGTGACACAGCCACATCATTGTTTATAGCAGCACAATTCACAATAGCCAAGCTTTGGAACCAACCTAGGTGCCTCTCAACCAATGAATGAATAAAGAAAATGTGTTATACATAAATAGTGGAATATTACTCAGCTATAAAGAATGAAATCATCGCATTTGCCAGTAAATGAATACAACTGGTCATGCTAAGTGAAATAAGCCAATTTCAAAAAACCAAAGGTCAAATGTTCTCTTGATAAGTGGATGCTAACCCATAACAAGAGAGGGGGGAGGGTAAGTATAGAAATTCATTAAATTAGATAAATGAGAACAAAGGGAGGGGAGGGGAGGGGAGATAAGAACAGGGAAGACAATAGAATGAATCGGACATAACTTTTCTATGCCCACGAATATACAACTAGTATAACTCCTCATCATATTCACCCACAAGAATGGGATCAAAATTGTAATGGGTTGTACCCCATGTACAAAATATACCCTACTGTCATGTATATCTAAAAACAAATTTTAAAAACAGCCCTTTTTGAATAGCTTATGATATATATTTTGAAATTCCTCTCAATTTTAGTGATTTACAATGACAACTGCAATAATTATAAACTCCCAGGCAACACAATAACTATGCTTTTAATGTATGCCAGGCCCTAATAGTCCACTGAAATAGTTCTTAGTCTGTTCCTGAATAGCAAGGACTATAGGGACACACTAAGAGGCCCAACAGGTCTCCATTTTGGGATGAGGAATCTGAGGCCTAGACAGATCAACCAATTTGCTGAGGTCACCACCTACTAGCAGCCAGGATTTCAATGAGTCAATCTAACCAGGTACCTAGCAGCCTCCTGAGAGGAAGCACACCATTCCTTAGCAGCTGGTSATGATTAGCCTTTAATTTTTTTTAACCTCACATTTCAGACTGATGAATAGGAAATAGCACTTTGATTAATGACAACCAAATTTAAGTATGTATTCCAAATGTTTAACATCAGGGCTGGGATTGTGGCTCAGTGGTAGAGCACTCACCCAACCCGTGCAAGGTCCTGGGTTTGATCCTCAACACCACATAAAAATAAGTAAAATAAACTACAACTAAAAAAATAAATATTTTTTAAAAGATGTTAATATGTCAATATTTTCATGTGAGTTATTGGATTATTTATTTAACCACTTTGCCCCCAGGTCTCCTTAAGTATTTGCAGAATTTCTTTACATAACAACAATCTTAAATCCTTTTTCATCTTTGTCATAATTGTCTTAAGACATTTTTTCATTTGTCTTATTCAGTTTTGATGATTTTCCTTTTCAAATTTAGAATTAACTTCATGTTCACCTTTTCCTCTGTAATTTTTCTAAACACCATCATAGTCCACCTTCATAGTGGAATGACTTGTTTTTACTCAAATTTCTATGAATCTTGTTTTCTATGAATTCATTTTTCATATGAATTTTAGACTCTGAAAGCTCTTAATTGTCATCATTACTAATTATGTCATTTGGGAATATGCAGAGGGGCTCAGTCCCAACTGAACATCAGAATTACCAGGAAAGCTCCAAGAAAAAACAACAAAATTCCAATCTGCTGGCCCTACTCCAGACCAGTTAAGTCAGAATCTTTGCACAATCAGAAACAAAAACAACCCTTCTAAAGTGATTTTTTTTTCTTTTACGTATATTTTTGAGTTGTAGATAGACACAATACCTTTATTTTATTTAGTTATTTATTTTTATTTATTTATTTATTTATTTTTATTTATTTATTTATTTAGTGGTGCTGAGGATTGAACCCAGTGCCTCGCACATGCTAGGAGAGTACTCTACCATTGAGCAATAGCCCCAGCCCTAAAGTGATTCTTATGTGCAGCTGAGGTTGAAGGTCACAGACAGAGACTATGAGGCCAGAGATTTTTGACATATTTCTTTGTACTTTTTTGCATTATTCGAATGGGTTTTTTGTAGTCTGTTTTTGCAGTGTTTATTTGTCATTCATACTGGAGATTGAACCTAGGGGCTCTCTACCATTGAGCTACRGGGTCTTGCTAAATTACTCAAGGCTGTCCTAGATCTTGCAATTCTGCCTCAGCCTCCCAAGTGACTGAGATTACAAGTCTGTGCCACCATGCCTGGTTGACTGTATTTAAAAGCAAAAAAAAAAACATAGGAAGTGTGTGTGTCTGTGAGTTTGTATCACAGACACAYACACTTCCTATGTTGCCTTGGTTGGAAAATAAGCCAAATAAAGACATCTTTTAATAATGCAGGGATAAATGTGCTATTGTAAATCAGATCTTTATTTTATTTCCAAATATTTAATTTTTGGTTGTAGCTCTCTGCTTTGCTGAGCGTTATGATTCAGACATAAGGTGTCCCCCGAAAGTTCATGTGTGAGACAATGCAAGAATTTTCAGAGGCAAGATGATTACTTTATGAGAGCTGAAACACAATCAGTGGATTAATCCACTAATATGGATTAACTGGACAATAACTGAAGGCAGGTAAGGTGTAGCAGTGCTGAGAGCCACAGCCAGTCTGTATGGTAGTAGGTCACTGGGCATATGCTTTGGGGTTTATATTTTGTCCTTGGTGAGTGGAGTTCTCTCTCTGCTTTCTGTTCCGTGTCCAGAGTCACCTTCTGCCATCCACTTCCTTCACGATATTCTGCTTCACCTTGGGCCCAGAACCATGGAGTCAGCAGACCAGGAACTGAACCTCTGAAACCGTGAGCCAAAATAAACTTTTCCTCCTCAATACTATTCTCATCAAGTCTTTTGGTCACAGTGATGAAAAAGCTAAAACAGTGAGCATATTTTTAAATGAAGTTTCCTCTCACCATTACCCCTCCTTCTGAAATTCCTCAAACCCAAGGCCTCCCACATGCTAGGTAAGTGCTCTTTCGTGTAGATACACCACCAATCCTTTGCTGAGCATGTTTTAAAATATATTTTTCCTTATTTTTTAAAGTAATATTAAGTCCCCAGGTCATTTCTTGGAATAATGTTGTCCAGCCTAAATATGGGCTTTAATTGGCACAAAAAGCCTGGTCATCTTCTTCACAGGAACATTATGGGAATGGAACACCTAAGAATATGAGCATGAAGGCCACGGGCTGTAGCTCAATGGTCAAGCATTTGTCCTGGGTGTACAATCCCCAGTACCATAAAAGAAAAAAAAATCACTTTTTCCCTAAAATAATTATTGTTACTAACTGTTGCTAAAATATAGAGGAACAGCGTTGGATGGGATCTGTCCCTGACAAATTGTGAATGGGCAGAGTACATAATAGCTTGGAGTCCTTTCAATTATAAAAGGAGGGGCGGGCGTACAGGAAAATAAGACTGAGGTCGGGCGGAGGGAGTCAGTATATAAAATGTCCTCAGCTGAGATGTTTTTTAGAAATTCATTATGTCTTCCTCCTACAAGATTCTGATTGGGGAAAGGGGGCAATCTTAACTCCACATACACAAGACACCCAAACTCCTGTGTTCTGATACGGAAAAGGGGATGGAAGGAGGGAGAAGAGAGGCAAGTGACTCACCCTCCCAGTGATAGGACTACCTGGGCCCCTGGCCCTAAACACTGACTTAAGGGAGTTTGTGGACTTGACAGATCCCTGGATGCAGATCAAATCATCCTCTGGCGGGAGGCTTGTGAAATAAACTAGAGTTCTGGGGATCCTCAGCCAAGTGTTTAGAAGCACTGGAATTCTTATTTTTCACTATTTTCTCCATGAGTTAGTTCCGGGAGCAGGCAGATTAGGGAACCACTAGGTGAATCTATTGCCTCTCCCAGGCCAAAAAYACCAATCCCTGCCCGCTGCAAAGCCCCTCCCATGGGTCGAAGCTAACTGTGGATTCCCTGCAAAACGCTGGGCGCCAGCAAATCACAGCCTCAGCTGCTGCTCCACTGCTTTAAGGAGTAAAAGTCGCCTAAGGGAGGCTCACCGGAAAGTTCACCGGACATTAGACTTCAGGCAACGCCCCTCCACCGCCGCCTTCCAGTTACGGGGTGTTGAACTTTCACTCGGGAAAGCGAACCCGGGAAAACGTCCCTCTCGTGACTAGGGGTCACGTGCTCAGCGTCCCGCAGCTCCAGCGACCTTTCCAGGCCCGCGTTTCAGCGCCTGGCTTTCCTACCCCGCGGGACACTAATGGGTTTTACAATTTCGACCGCCCTGTCCTCTTTCCAAAGGGATGGGGGCGGGGGGGGGACTGCGTTTTTGTATAAGTCTCTCCAAACAGTAGACCAGATGAGGCATGGCTTTCGGTTCCATCCTTTCCTCMGCTACTGTCTCTTACTTAGCTTTGCATTTGTGAAGTGACAGGTTTCCCGATCAAAGGCCCAAAGTCGCCCAAAGATGTGCCAGGATGCCCCTAGCCTCCTGGAGAGTGGGCGGCCAAGGGCGCCAGGCTACCCCGCAGCACCGCTCTCGGTGAAGGCAAGGCAAGCGCGGGCCGCGCCTCTGTCGGGCCTTGTCGCCTTAGGGTGGGTGCTGTCTGGATGCTGGGGTGCGGTTCCCCCACTGCACTAACCACCACCTGCCCTGGCCGCACGGTGCCTGCAGCTGTAGACAAATGTGCCTAACACCGACTCCCGTCCCGGGAAAAGCTCAAACATCGAAGTCCAACAAAAACTGGCTCTGGAGGACTGGTTCAGCGTCCCGAGTTGGGAGATGCCACCGTGGGGGGGACACTTGTGCGCAGCACAGCTCATCGCGCCCACAGGCCGGCCGTGGAGGGAAGCAGGGCCGCGGCGCACTCACCTCGCTGCGGCTCGGCTTCGGCGCCCTGCTCTGGGGAGCCGCCAGGGGCCAGCAGCGCGGCGCTCAGCATCGACGCCGCCAGCAGCAGCGCAGCAAGCGCCCAGCCGGCGCCCGGCGCCCCGCGCATGTCGCCCGCAGCGCTCTCCAGCCGCAGCTTCCTCCCCGGCGCCGCCTCCTGGAACGCAGCTCCGGCGCCGCCGCGCTCCTCCGCCCTGCGCTTCTCGGCGGTGGGCGGCCGCGCGCCCGTCATCGCCTCCACTCGGATGCCGTCACTGCAGCGGTCTGAGTCACCGCGGGGAAGGCGGAGGGAAGTGCGGGAAGCCGGGGAGACCTAGGGGCGGGGCCGGGCCGCACTAGGCCCGACCTCTCTAGGCCCTGCCCTAGGTGAAGCTTATTAAGTAAGAGCTAAGGTTTCCTACACTTTGCGGCAGTGTTTGTGTCTTCGGAGAAACAAAGACTCCTGCAGGCCAGGAGTCCTTGCTCCCCAATCCTTAATCATTTCCCTGGGCAACATTCTGCTAAATTCCTGCAACATGACCTTCAACATACAAGTGGGTGTTAGAGGCCTCTGTCCACCGAACAGGGATACAATACGACCCTTAGGTAAGCAAGACTAAAGGGTCTTATCCCCCACCACACACACACACCCGCATACACCCAGGCGTTTAGATATAGATATAGATATAGAGAAAGAGACACAACTTAAAAACCACCAAGTCTTACTACCACTTTGAAAGTCCTGTTGTCAATCTCTGAAGAAGTTCAAGGCCTCTAGGAATGAGTATTCCTCAGATCCACTGGCTATGTACGCAGAGAAACTATCACTGTGTAAGAGGACGTGTGCAATACTTGTAGCAGTAGAAATGAGGGTGAATCTCAAAAATAGGGGTGAGGGGGAGAATGCAGATTGCAGAATGACTTTGTAGTAACATAAATTGAGGCAAAACAATATGGTAAGTGGAATAGAACTGCATTGACAAACATGGAAAGATACACACGAAATTCAAGTTAAAATTTCGGGGTAGGAAGAGAGCAGAATGGTAGGCCTACTTCAGAGTGGGCTTCAATTGGCAGCGTTTTATTACTTAAATTGGGGGATAAATAGGTATATGTGTGCACAGTGTGGACTTTTTAAAAATATATTTCTTTGCATACCTAAATTATTTGATTTTTTAAAACAGTGTCATATTAGAAGAAGGACAATGCTAAGGTAGCATTTGACAACATCTAAACTAGCCACCTGGAAATATTCCAGGAGGCATTTACCTTTGTCCTGAGGATTGTTACCCAGGAGGAGTGAAGAAGTGCATTTCCAGCAGAAGGAATAGCCTTTGCAAGAGCTCAGAGAGAACGCAGCTTAGCAAAGGAGCTGAAAGAAATCCAGTGCGACTGGAAGAGTTTTATGAAGGGAATGTCAGGAGGTTAAGTAGACAGTATAGACTTTTCCCTAGGGACAGTAGAAAGCTGTTGATGACCTTTAAGGTGGAGAATGACTTTCAAGAAACCAATGATCATGAACTCTCTCAGTCTCAAATTCAAATTATTTTTCTCAAGTGAAGCCCCTATGCCAGAATGTCAGGGAGAGGTCTAGTTACTCTCTGCCCTACTTTTAGTTTTAGGTAAAGTTATTGGGGAAGGTCTTACACAAGGCAAAGATAGAGATGAGACCTGAATGAAGTGTTGAAAATCCCAGCAGTGGAGGAATACTGATGTCTGAGCATTCTAGCAAAGCCATTGCTAACCAGTCTACCAACCACTGCTGATCTGCTCAGCAGTGACCCTCTCTGGCCCAACCCTGGTTTGAACCCACAGGGTCACTGGGTGGATATACTCTATCAGAGGACAACTCTTTCAACTTGATCACCACCCTCTATACCTTAGAGAATCTGGAGTGCCTGTCTTAGGGCTCTGTGTGAGCTATTCCCTCTACCTAGAACACCTTTCTCCACTCTGATATTTAATGGCTCCCTCCCTCTCAGCTCCATCGTTGCCTTATTTAAGGAGACCTCCCCAATAACTTCACCTAAAACCAAAACATCCTCCATCCCACATCCTACTTCATCTGCTTTATTTTTTTCATTGCACTAATTTCTGATATGATGGTATACATCTGTTTCCCTTATGTAAGAATGTAAACTCAATGAAGACAAGTAGTTTGTCCTAAGGGCAAATCTTCTCCATTAAAAGATAATACATTAATGAATAGTTCCAAACTCTTGGACTGATCCCAACCAAGTTTCTTTCTTTTTTAAAGAAAAAAATCAGAAGGGCTGGGGATGTGGCTCAAGCGGTAGCGCGCTTGCCTGGCATGCGTGCGGCCCGGGTTCGATCCTCAGCACCACATACCAACAAAGATGTTGTGCCCGCCGAGAACTAAAAAAAATAAATATTAAAAATTCTCTCTCTCTCTCTCTCTCTCTCTCTCTCTCTCTCTCCTCTCTCACTCTCTCTTTAAAAAAAATCAGAAATTTATTAGTTGCTCAAAACATTACATTGATCTTGACATATCATATATCATACATTTGTTTCAAATGGGGTATGAATTCTTATTATTCCCACATGTACAGATTGCAGGATCACATTGATTACATAGCCATGTTTATACATACTGCCATACTAGTGTCTGTTGTATTCCGCTGCCCTTCCTATCCTCTTCCTATCAAGTTTGTTTCTTGCTGGCACTCACACGAGCTCACTCCAATGCTCCATTGCAGCAGGAGCTTCCACCATTACTGCAGCAGTGGGAAGACAATATAGCAAATCTTACACTGATTATTAAAGCTCCTGCTCAGAAGAAATGGATGTAAACTCCATCCACATTTCATTGGCCAAAACAAGTCATATGGCCTCATATGACCAACAGATGCAGAAAAGAACACTGAGCAAAATGCAGCACCTATTCAACCCTCAGCAAAGCAGAAACAGAAGAAGACTTCCTTGGTATGATAAAGACCATCTACAAAAAACTTAGAACATGAAAGATTGAATGTTTTCCTTCTAGAATCACAAGTAAGGCAAGGATATTTGCCTTTAACACCTCTATTCAACACTGTACAGGAGGTCCTAGTCAGTGCAATAATGCAAAAAAAATAAAAATAAAAAGCATACAAATAGGCTCTGTTTGCTGGTCATTGTGGTGCATGCCTGTAATCCCAGGAACTTGGGAGTCTGAGGCAAGAGGATGGCAAGTTTGAGACTAGCCTTGGCAATTTAGTGAGACTCCAAGCAACTTAGGGTGACCCTGTTTCAAAATAAAAGGGCCGGGGATGTGGCTTAATTAAAAAGCACCCAAAGGTCCAAATTTAAGAATAAGGGAAAGGGACTTAAAAATTATTAGTCAATCCAGGTGTGGTGGTGCATTCCTGTAATCCCAGTAATTTAGGGACTGAGGCAGGAAGTTGTTGAGTTCCAGGCAGCCTCCCCAATGTAGTGAGACTCTGTCTCAAAATGAAAAATAAAAAGCCTCTGTAAAGCTCAGTGGAAGAGCACCTTTGGATCAATCTTCTGCACATAAAAAACATGTTGTTATTCCAAATTTGCATTTAGTCAGGCTCAACACATTACTATGATCATATGAATATCTTTCTCTGACATCTAATCAGAAAGCAAGGTAGATGTGCAAACAGAGAAAGAAAAACTAGAAATAATAAGATTTTATATACATTTTGGGGACAAGAGGAAGACCATGGAGGCAAACATATGAGGGAATAAGAAGCTTATTCCTATATCCTAGCCAGATTGAAGGCCAGGAAATTGCCCAGCTCCGATCAAACAGGTTACCATCAAACCAGAGTGTGGGTTTTGTGGTGGCGTCAGGTCAGGCATACATGTAGATCTCCTCTATGCTCCACAGAGAGTGTTTTAGATCCACGGTGTTTAACGCAGGCAGCACTCTTCGTCTGGAATGGGCACTTCAAAACCAGTCCCAGCAGTGCAGGTTTCAAGAACACCACAGGCCTGAGAGGGGAGCTGGCAAATTAAGCAGTCTGGATATGATGTCCCATATCCAGCCCACGTATGAGCAAGTCCCAGCCTGTCCTGGACACTCTAAACCCCTACACTACACCATAGGAAAGCCTGGCCAGCTGTTGAGTGATGTACACAAGGGCGTCTGGGGTGATATCATACCCAAAAGACTAGGCATCCCATTGCTGCCACTCACTGTTAGAAGGGTACTGAGTTTAAGCCCACAGCGTGGGCTGAGCTTCCTGGGTGGGTTACCCTAAATGAATGTGTTATGCTACCACTGCCCACCAGGGCTCTACATGAGGACTGAGAGGTGGCTCTAGAACTGCTGGGGATCTGGAGACTTACACTTATTCCCTGCACCTGCTGCTGTGTATCCCAGCTGGTGGAGACTGGAGTTGAGGCAATGCTGCCACTCTGATGGTGGTTCCCAGAACCAGGAAGCAGCCCATATTAGGTTCCAAAATTTTTCTAGGAGGCAGGAGGGGACAGTGATAGGGCAGCCTAGGAAGAAGGGGTGGTATCTACAGATTCCTCTGGTGCTGCAGGCTAGGAGGTGATGGCAGAGACACTGTGCCAGGTGGGAGGCAGTGCATGGTTCCTAACTGGGATCACTATAAGCAGGGCAGCATTGCCAAGGCAGGTTCTCCATGGAACCCAGGAGGGCTCCCAGATGAGGGCTGAGGTGTGGTTAGTGGGACAAAGGATTGGTTCAAATGGGGGTTGGGGTGGGAGACCTGAGGTGTTGGGGAGCCAGTGGGCTGCCTGTACTGCCTAGGGCCATGGACCTGGGGCATGGGCAGGAGCTGTCATTGGAGGCAGGTGCAGTTGGAAATATTAGTGTCATAGAAGAGGGAGTAGTGTCCATGGCCATGTCCTCAGACAGCACAGTGGAGGGTGAGTCAGGTGAGCAGAGGACTTGACTGTGTGGGTGGGAGAGACTCTTGTAGCAGTTAAGTTCTGGCCAAGGCTATTGGGGGTGCAGGTGGAAGGGACTTGGAAAGGAATGAAGAGGAGGAGGAGCA